TATCTAACCATCTCATCCTCTGCCGTCCTCTTCTCTTTTTGCCTTCAATCTTTCCCAGCATTGGGGAAAAACTGGGAGACCTGAGTTCTAATCCTGCCTGAGGCACAAAGCTACCTGGGTGACTTTGGGACGGTCCTTCTCTCTCAGTGTAACAGTGGGTAAATGGCTATTCATTGGCTCTGCATTCAGGAGGATCAGTCATTGATCATAAGAAAGTGATTTTTTCCCCATAGCTGGATTGTGTACACAGTGACACCATCTCATTTGAATGCCGTTGCTGAATTGGTGGTAGCAACGACAACTCTTGTCTAACAACAGCAGCAAGATATTTAGCAAAGTTTCTTGTGAATGTGCATTGCACACTTTCACTGGGCAAAGGAGACATTCTTCTGTTATGGTAGAACTCTTCCATAGGCTGATAAAGGTGTTCTTCTGAATGGCCTGCACACAGAAACATTATGATGACCTTAGCATTATTAAAGATAAAATAAGAGAGGATTCCTCAGTCTAGCCCTCCTTTCAGAGCCATCCGTATAGATTGTGGGCAATGTCACAGGCTGATAAATCTAACAAAATGTTTGTAGCAATCACTCCCCAGAGCAGTGTTTCTCAACCTTGGCCACTTTAAGAGGGGTGGAAGTCTTCACCTTCAGTTCTGGGAGCTTAAGTCCACCCCTCTTAAAGTGGCCAGGGTTGAGAAACACTCTCCTAGAGGAAAGGCACCAGCCGGAGTTTGGGACTGAACATGGCCATCCAATCTGGCATTCTGAGGAGGCCGCTCAGAGTCACGTTTGAAAGAGTGAGCAGGGCAGCGGCTTCAGTCCTCCAGACCTCTGGAGGGGCCTCTGGAGGGGCCACCCTGGGTTTCTTCTCAGGGGAAGGCAAGATGAACACACGAAGCCAGGGGCGAGGGACCCGCGGAGCCCCTGCGACACCTCCCGAACCAGATCCCTCAAGGTCCTGCTTGAGCCCAGACCATCTGGAGGCCGCCCCTAATTCCAGGGGCCGTGTTCACCTTCTCCATGGTTGTCCAGGCTTGTTGCAGTGGGGTGGTGAAACAGCTGGGGAGCGGCCCGCCTTCCCTGCAGATGTTGGACTCGATTTCCAGCCGTACGGAGTCGTCGAACCCAAGAGGATGAGTGGATTGAAGAGAGAAGTACCTATTTGGGGGGCCAGAAAGAGAAAGAAGGGCAAGACTGAGACCGCGGAGGTGAAACTAGCCTGGGTGCAGTCTTCCTCTCTGGCCCCGGGAAACGCCCCATGACCCAAGCCTTGGTTTTTGCCCTCTCTGGGGGTTGCGTGGTCAGCCTGGGGTGGGGGCTTAGTGGGGGGAAGAGTGACGCAGTGACCCTGAGAACACATAACTGGGAGTAATCCTAGCGCCAGGTCTCCCCAGGCACCAAGCAGATTGTCACCTTACAGCCATGAGGACTAGGGACTTGAGCCCGTCCCCGTCCCCCGTCCCAGCTGTGCTTGCTTCTCACTGTGGAACGCGCCAAACCATCCAAGAGCCTTTCTCTCATGGGGCTGGGGCGTAACTCAGAGAACAGACACGAGCAGGAATTAGGGAAGCTCCAAATGTTTTGGACTGTTAACTGTTTGGTTGCAACCAGCATGTCAGTGGCAAGTTAGGATGGGATGTCTGACCCAAGCCAGCGAGAGGGAGCCACGTTGTTTCATCTGATGCCACAACCTGCAAATCCACCCTAAGGAATTCTGAGAACTGCGGTCCTGGGAAGGGGAGAAAAAAACTGTTCCATTCTGGAAAGGAGTGTTTTGGGTCCTATTTAAGCAAGCTGGGGCACTAATAAGTTGTTCTTATTATATGCTTACCCTGCCTTTATTTTTATATATACAGCATATACAGTATTTTGAGATCTCTCTCTCTCTCTCTCTATATATATATATATATTTATATATGGAGAGAGAGAGAGAGAGAGAGAGAGAGAGAGAGAGAGA